CCGAAGTGGGGGGTTAGTGTGGACCAGGCCTAAGGTACTGAATCACCTGCATGGAGCTGAATTGGTTTTTTTGTTTCCTTCCCCCCTCCCCCCCAGAAATTGGGGTCTGAAAGAACTTCCTCACACACTGGCAGGAATCCTGTGGGAGGAGGTCTGCTCCTGGAACATTGATTGATCAGCCTTCAGGGTTAGTTGGATAGATCACGGGACTAGGTGGCTATTATTGCAGCCGGAGAAGCATTGGTGGACCATGGTCTGTATGTTAATTTGGTGTGTAGATGTTGGTAGTTAAACAATTTTCCCTCCTTACCCTGTTGAGCAGCTCCAGAGTGAACATGTTTAATGTGTTTCTTTGTAGCTTCCAGTTGTAGTCCGTTTGCTTTAGGGAAATGTTCTGGCCTCAATGTACATTCATGAGACCATAATTTTGTCCAAAAGCTCTCTCTCAAATGAACACACACACTTCTCCTTACTGATTCTGCTCTTTCTTCTCCAGTCGTGTTACGAGCACATTCAAAAAGATATGAGGCTGCATCAAAGGGAGACCTGGCACATGGCACGTGATCCTTGACCTTCACAATCCAGAGGACATCTGGTTCATGCACTTTGATGACCGTACACTGTTAGGAGGTGAAGAGGGAATTGAGTCACCGCTGTTGTAGTTCACTTTCCAATGGGAAGAATGTTTGTTCTAGACCAAGGCTTTTTTTTTTTATTTTAAAGTACAAAACAGCTAGTGTCTGGACTTGTGGTGATGATGCTTGCCATCTACAAGGAGCAAGATCCTTCCTCAACCTCTAACATCTTTTGCCCTTGACAAAACCTGGTCCTGCGTTCCTCTGTCTGACATGAATAAAGCAAAATATGGTTTTTATTAGGCCATCCATAAAATTACAGCCCAACTCTAATCCACACAGTTGGATATTGACCTTTAAATCTTCAATTTTCAGCTAGTGTTCTGTGCAAACCCCAGGCCTTCCATTTTTCAGCATAAACCATTTTGTGGCCTTTGCCAAAAACTTCTCACCCTACAGATTAATCCTATTTTTCTGCATTTTACAAGTCTGCCTCTGCTCCATGACCTCATTTAACTTCCTCCTGTTTTTGTTTGCATTTATTTTGCAAAGCCAAAATATCCTGGGGTGGATGTTTTGATTAAAAAAAACCTTAAAACCAAAATGTAACTCCTCTGCTTTGCCTGCATGGTCCCGTCTGATGGAATCAGCGGCACAGAGATAAGAGATCCTTTTCCATTTCCCCCCAATAACCTCTTCCCGGAGAAGTGAAGATACGTGTTGTATAGCGGAGTGACGGTTCTTGCCCCATTGTCCTTGCTAGACATGCCAAGCCAAATCCCCTCTGCGCCATCACTGTCGCATTTTAAAGCTGCTATTGACTAACTTGATTTTTAGAGTACTTCAACTGTAATTATCAATATTTTTACATCCTGCTGAATCCTTTAATCTCAGGGATGTTACTCAGTAAACTTCCATGCCTTGTTGCAGATAGGAACCACTCAGTTCACCTGGCGTACATGGCACCAGGGGAACTACAACTGCCTTGCACTGAAAGACCTCTGAAACGCTGCAGGGCAATTTAATTAAAAACAAATGTGGTCCCGCACTACAGGTTCTGTGGAAAAGCCGGGAGCTACTTAAAATGATGTCTTTAGGTGCTGACATGCTACCCTACTGACTCAATGGGGTGTAAATAGGACCGAATCAGACCCCATTATTTCTATGGTGTGTCTTTTTTTTTTTAATTATTAAAAAGGTAAACTGTATCTAAATGTTGCACTCAAACTGAAATACACTAAATCTGAATGTCAGAGAGGTGCATATGAGAACAAAAGCTATATATATTTTAGAATAATTAAACGGTGGGTTTTAACCTGTTTTTTTAAGATGTGGGACAGTGTGATATTGTAACTACATAAAACTATAGACTGCACCTAATTATCACAAGTATGTTTTAACTAAAGAGTACACTGGATGCAATTGTTAATATATTGATTTGGGGCTGTGTTTTTTACAGTAACTTTGTATTTAAATAAACCTGTTACATTTTTTTTTGAAAGCCTCCCAAAATTATTTAAAGGATTTCTTGGCCCTTCTTGTGTTCTGTTTCAATACTGCGGCTATGCACCTTGCCCACCCCAAAAAGACACCCCATTCAGGCCCTTACCTTATTGAGTCCTACTCTCTCAGCCCGAACCACCTTCATCTGGACTCGCCATAGTGTCTGATTGCATAATCAAAACACTTCCTAATTTAGAATACTCTGACAGTGTCTATGGCACCCTGACTGCATGGGGATAAACTGGGTGCCCTTAAACCAATTGCAGAGGATGTTGTGTTCCTATATGCCAGCTGTCATTTAAACGGCATGATAAAATGCGCCCCTTTGACTTGTTACATACTTAGTAACACCAAGCTTCAGCTGTGGTTACACTCCATACCATGTGCTTACACACTGCAAACACGAGTAGGGTGGCCTCCGTTATTCAACTGGAAACTAAGGCTTGGCACCTTTCAGGATCAGCCCTTCATGCTTTAAGGAAGGATCTTGAGGTACGTACATTGGCCATTGTGTGCACAGAATTTTCTCACAAAAGATGAACTTGCATCTTAAGTGCTCCAGCATGCATCCACTTTAAAACCTGGTGGCTGGTGTGTAATTGACACCTTGCAACTAAACTTATCAACCTGTAGCTACTGGCTTAGCACATCTTACTGCTGCAAAGCCACTGTGACTTCTACCATGGAGTTGCTTCAGTTGTATATCACTCATCAGGCTGTCAATTGCAGAATCTCTGTGCCGGATGGGAGACCGAGATCCTAAGAACACCTCAGTCCCACCAGGTTCATTGTGCTGTAATAGCAACTCCTAACAGGGCTGACAAACTCACACCTAGCACACTGCTTTCATGGGAATTAGCCATAAAGAATGTCATGAGAGGTTTTCAATAAAAGCCGGGGTCACTCTTGTCATTACTATGACGGTGAAATATATGTACAGATACCATGCGTGAGATACTGCAAGTATGTTCCTAAAAATTTGAATCAAGGCAGGATTGACAGATTTCTGGCAGCAAAGGACATATATTGCCCTGTGAACCGTGACAAGCAGGTGAACGAAGCATTGTGAGCCAACACAATGGAAGCCCTGTCTCCAAGGTGCCACAAGTACTCCTGTTCTTTTTGTGGATACAGACTAACACAGCTGCTACTCTGAATCCTGTTTGCATATAAAAGTCAACAGGAAGGTGTGAAGTCAGCACACCAGGAAATAAACCATAGGGTGCCATCTTGACTGGGAACAAACTGACATTGGGGAACATAAGGGGAAGACACAGACACCTCTCTATCCTGCACGTCAGGAAGTGCGATTATATTTCTGGGTTGGAAACACTGCAAGAAGGCAAGACTAGACTGCGTTTCAGCAGCTGGTTCGCACGTTAAGTTTAGTCTCTAGCAAGCATGTGTTGATTTAGTTTAGTAACCTGTTTCCATTATCCTTACACTCGACTTGTTACCTTTGATAAATGTGTTTGCGCTGTAAACAGCTGAGTGCTGGCGTGTTTATACAGCTGATCCTCAGTTGAATCAAACAAGTTCGTGTACATATGGTCTCCTTGGGGGCAGCAAATCCGGTATTTCTGTGCACAGCTGGTGCCAGGGCATGCTTCAAGGGGACCGGGCTGCCCCTATTAAGCTGCAAAGCAAAGTGAGGGCTGCCATGGGCCTCAAGAGATTGTTTGCGTGCCTCACAAACTGGTGATGTTGCACAGCTAACACCCAATTATACACCAACAAAACTTCCTTCCTCTCTGGAGGCCCCGTGGCAGGAGCCAGCAGAGATCTCGGGGTGAATTTGTGGTTCCGGTGGTTAGAACAACCCTGTGTGCTCAGCTGACAAGTCCTATTGTGAACAGTCTTCCCTGGAATGCCTAATTCCCACAAGCATGGTAAAGAAAATCCACATGGTAAATACACCCCTAAGCCATAGCAAATGAATCTAGCTGGGTTTAGTCATGTTGCTTATTGAATACTACTGTGAGTGTGGTATAAGAACTTCTAGAGAACAGAAGAACAACGTAGTCAAAGATAAAGACTGTAGGAGCAAGGTGAAGCATTACTTTCTAAGGGTACATCTACACTACAGGGGGGAGTCTATTTAAGATACGCACATTCAGCTACGTGGATAGCGTAGCTGAATTCGACGTATCGCAGCCGACTTACCCCGCTGTGAGGACAGCGGCAAAATCTACTTCTGCGGCTTTCTGTCGGCGGCGCTTACTACCACCTCCGCTGGTGGAATAAGAGTGCTGATTCGGGGATCGATTGTCGCGTCCCAACGGGACGCGATAAATCGATCCCCGAGAGGTCGATTTCTACCCGCCGATTCAGGCGGGTAGTATAGACCTAGCCTGAGGTACTTGGCAAATATATACCTTGGATCACTGCACTCAATGGGAGCTGGAAATGCTGGGTAGGTAAGGTAGTAATTGGTATGTTGCAGGACTGGGTGCTTAATGGACTAAAATTTGCTCACATGCTAGTGTAAATCAGGCATGACTTCACTGAAGTCAATGGAATTCCACCACAGTGACTGAGATCCCATTCAATCCTCAGCCCACTGAAGGAGCTACGAAGGGCAGAAACAGTTGCCATTGGCTGTATGACAAAGGAAAACTTGTTCAGTGCCAGCTGTGAATTGTTCTCCTTTCATAATTGCTCGAAAGTGGCAACTTTCCAATCCAAAGAGAGGCTCCCGGAACTCCTTCTTGAGCCTGTGCAATTTCCAGTCAGTTTTCATAGCCAAGAAAGAAAAGTCCGATTCTTCCAGAAATGTTCAGAGCTTCGCATGGAAGATGGTCTAATTGAGTATAGTTTCCTGGTGGCAGTCTAGAACATCTATTCCTAAATAGCACACGCAAGACATGTTTAACATACTAATTCTGAAGGGTAGTTTAACCTTTGAAAGAATGAGATGTTCCCTGACATTTTTAAACATTTTAATGTGCAATATTAAAAACAGCAACTTTAAGTGGTCACCCATACTGGTCACCTCAGAGGTCAACGACTGATTAAGTTTCAGCTCAGTGCTTAAAAACCTTCAACTATAATCTTAATGGAAGCACTGTTGGCTAGAATTAAACTTTTCACAGCCCCTGTTTAGAAGGAGACTAACTGCAAGCCCCTAACAACAATGGGAGTGTTTTTTATAGTTTAACTGAAAACGCTTGTGAGGCCACTTCCCTTGCAGTCCTTTTCAATGTGTATTACCCTTAAGTTCATAGGTTGTGCTATGTCACCACACAGCATGTTAATACTCTTCCTTTCATTAACACACAGTCTAAGGCTACATACAGACTTCCATGTTTTTGCCTTTCTAAAACTCTTTTAGTTCAGTCTCTAGGTGATCTCAGTACAGAGAGGTGAACTTGCTGAAATATAGATGCTTTGGTGTGTAGAATTGAGAGGATACATCTCAAAAGTTCATCCTTTTGGTTCTAGACCATTCCAATGGCTGAATTTCCTACGTGGCTGATTCTTAGGACCATAACTTCTTCCTGCTATGGTGAGTTTAGCTGCTTGCATTTCTGCTACATGGAATGAATCTAATCTCTGACTCTGCTGGAGACGTCTTCCCTTTTTAGAGTGGTTTCAATATAAACAGGACATTTAATGTAGTGTACTCATTTTCCTAACATGCTTTTTCTCTTGATTCTATATCCGCGGCCTCCCCATCCACATTAAGGCTCATTGTGCTTAAACTCTAACAGGGGGGAAATATGGAGACTTCTTATGATTTGTCTACATGCAGCTATGTTGCAATAGGTACAAATACTTGAATAAATATGGAACTATAACAGTGCTGTGTCTATTGCAGCTTTCAGGTGGTGTAGTAATGCCTCTGGAGGTGGGGACAGTGATTTAGGGTTCAGTTTCTTGAAATCCTCGTTAGCATTTAAGGATGTTAACACTTGCACGGCCCTTTTTAAATCAAACACCGCATGGAGCATGCCCAGAGCGGAGGTGGCAGCCCTGTGAGTGTTCTTGGCTGAAGCTTCTTCATCTAGGACATGGTTTAAGACAGAAATCCTGTTCTCCGCGATTACCTTAAGGAAGTTGTAGAACTCCTTATAGTTTATGCCTGTGCAAGATTTCATGATTACCTAAGGGAGAAAAAAACTACATTAAACGTTGACTCCTTATTTACTGCACTAGTAAGAGAGTTAAAGGCAGCTGCCTTCTCAAGCCAGTAAGTAGCTGAAAACTCTTCTCAGAGTGTGACTCCTGGCTGTTATTTCCGGATGCCTAATTACAGTAAAATTCATTAATTGACAGGAAATCTCGCTAGTCCCAACTAAACTCTTCCCAGTATCCCCAGAGTTTCCAGTAAACTTTTATCTGACCAGTTCTAGTGGCTGGGGTTTCCCCAGCTCAATAAGACAGGATTTTACTATTTCCAGTAGAGAGAGATCTCATACAGGGAAATACTATACCCAGCATCTCCTATGAAACAAATAGCTAACTTAAGCACTAATTGAAAGGTCTAGAAATTGACTTAATGGGTGCAGATTAACAAACCGACTTTCTTCAGTCACACGTTCTACACAATCATAGTCAGACTGGAGGCCCTGTTCAATTATTAGCAAGAACGTGAGGGAATATTAAAGGTTTTATTTTTACAGCCTGATAACTATTTATTTTAGAAACAAGGGACACACAGGCTTGCTTTTAGCCTTTAGCACTTGCAGATTAGCGAGGTAATCAATAATGAGTTTCTATTGACATTTCAACGTCCCCAATATTTTTGAATCATACAACATATAAAAAGACTACTAACTAAATAACGGTTTCACAGTCATATGCCTGCTGCTTTCCGAAAATGGACCTAGAAAACAATCACAATTTACCGCCCTGTTCTCATAACACGTCTTTCATTATGGAATAATTAAGATACTTCTCTTATAAAACTTTATGGAAATAAGGTATTTCTTTAGCTGAAGGATATTCCATCTATCCTGGGTAGTGCGTAGGACACCAGATGTTGATGTGGGTTCAAACACCAGGAATCATGTTACCAAGAGGCAAAGGGTGTTGCCAAGCAAATTACAGTTGTGCAAGTAATGGCAAAGTCCTGCCTTTGGAGAACTAAGAGTGCTGCCACATATGGAACAAGGAAAAAAATAAAAGCAGGAGTAATATAAATGTACCTTCATCCCAATACTATTATTATTATTTAATATATTTGTATCACATCAGTACCAGAATCCTGAGGGTACATCTACAATGGAATACTGTGTGCAGATGTGGTCACCCCATCTCAAAAAAGATATATTGGAATTGGAAAAAGTTTTGAAAAGGGCAACAAAAATTATGAGGAGTTTGGAACAGTTTCCAGATGAAGAGAGATTAATAAGACTGGGGCTTTTCAGCTTGGAAAAGAGACGACTAAGGGGGGATATGACGGAGGTCTATAAAATCATCACTGGTGTGGAGAAAGTAAATAAGGAAGTGTTACTTATGCCTTCTCATAACACAAGATCTAGGGGGTCACCAAATGAAATTAATAGGCAGCAGGTTTAAAACAAACAAAAGGAAGTATTTCTTCACACAATACACAACCTGTAGAACTCTTTGCCAGCAGATGTTGTGAAGGCCAAGACTTTAACAGAGTTCAAAAAAGAATTAGATACATTCATGGAGGATAGTTCCATCAATGGCTATTAGCCAGGATGGGCAGGGATGGTGTCCCTAGCCTCTGTTTGCCAGAAGCTGGGAATGGGCAACGGGAAGGATCACTTGATGATTCCCTGTTCTGTTCATTCCCTCTGGGGCACCTGGCACTGGCCACTGTTGGAGGACAGGATACTGGACAAGATGGACCTTTGGTCTGACCCAGTATGGCCGTTCTTATGTTCTTCGGACCTGCCTGAGGCAACAAATAAGTACAAGCAGTAGCATATACACTGAGTGTTGCATCAGTGAGATAGTGAGAGACTTAAGGGATAATCTATCACCTAACAAATTGGACTGTTCATTTCCCAGCCTGTAATAAAGCATGACCTCTCAATACGGATCAGTTTGGTGTCCAGTATCACTGAAATGCACTACATAGGAGCTACAATAGCCCAAGGGAAGTGGGGTTCGCATCACTTAACTGACTGGGTGTTATACCTGGCATTGTAGGTGCCAGTCCTCCATAGTGTCTCTCCATTCGCTGATTTCCCGTTGGACGGCTGCTAATTCATCCTGCAAGAAGCTCCACATGATAGCCACGTTGCAGCCATTCACCCAGTTGTGGTTGATGGAAATTGTATCCTCCTGGAAGAAACCACAGAGTCTAACTGGTTATTCATCTTAGCCTAGGAGAGCATGTGGTGTGATGTCTCTGACCCCATTACTGATTTCCACAAAGTTGGTGCCAACAAGAGTAAATCCCTGATCCTCAATGAATGGAAAGGCCTCTCTGGGCCTCAACTATCTTCAATGTCCACCTCTTTTTAACTCCCTTGCTAATCAAACCCTGCTTCCTAAGCTTCCCCCATACTCAGTCCTTCTCACTGACATTTGGCAGTTGTTCCCACATCTACAACCAGTACTGTGCCCTACTGCAACCCACACTTTTAATGAAGAGGCTTTAATTAGCTGAAGTGTTGATACTGAAGGACACACTGTATGTAGCAGCGTAAGTCGGATGTTTGAGATCCCCCCATGTCATCCAATCCTTTCCCAGCCAGTGCAGGATATCAGTGAGAATTATCTATTTTGCTTAGTGTTCTAAATGATCAAGTGGTAAGAAGCACCTTTTGCTATGTCTAAAAACGGGACAGGGTTACTCCCTGCCGTTACTTCAATATAGTTACCGCAGAGACTGATCATCTGGGACATCGTTTTATCTTGCTCAGTGCAAACATAAAAACAGTGCATATAGCACAGAAATGATTGGACTGACTCTAACCCCAAAGGCACCTGCCTATAGATTCTGATGTGCACCAAACCCCCAACTGTGACATGCATTTAAAACCAAACATCACCCAGATAGACTGTTACTTTCCCCCACTATCCAAAAAACCAAAACCCAAATCCCTCCCAATTTAGGTCAGGATCCCATTCAAAATTATCCTCCAGGGCTTCTCTCCTGCAAGTGGATCCTCATGGGCACAAGGGATCTGAGCGCAGAGCCCTATCTAAGCGTCTTCTTATGAACTTTGATCCAGATCCTCAAAGAGATTTAAGCTCCTAACTTCCACTGAAATCAATATCTTTGAGGATCTGGGCCTTTGTCTCTCTCTGCTGCTACCAAACATTTAGCCTGGCTTTCCCTTATCGCTCCTTATGTTTTGTCTCAGCAGAAGCTATAATTCTAAAGATGGGCCAAACCCAGAATTACATTTTTAGGAGAACTGCTGAAGTTTTGGTGATGTGCATTAAACAGAAGAGGGATCTAATATACCCCATATGCCTTGATTTTGCAAAATCAAAAGGCCAAGATTTTGCAAAACCCAAACTAGGCCTCCTGGGTCCAACTTCGGAGTTTCTTCCCGGCAGTGACCAGGCTGAGAAATGCAAACTGTGACAGGACAGTATGGGAACCCAGTGAGAAATTGTAAACTGGTTTCTTTCCTGCTCTAGAATTAGCTAAAGACTCAGCAGAACTTTACTCCTTACACAAAACCTTTTGATTTGCTAAGGACTCATAGAAATGTGTTAGTCATCCGATCGCTGCTAATTCTTTTGGTGAAAACTGAAACAAAAATGGCATTTAACACATTGGCCACTGCTGCATTTTCTGTTGTCTTTCCCTCCTCATTCAGTAATGGGCCCACCCTGTCCTTGGTTTTCCTCTTGCTTCTAGCGTGTAAGTATATTGATGATATATATGGAGATATATCTATCTCATAGAACTAGAAGGGACCCTGAAAGATCATCAAGTCCAGCCCTCTGCCTTTACTAGCAGGACCAAGTACTGATTTTGCCCCAGATCCCTAAGTGGCCCCCTCAAGGACTGAACTCATAACCCTGGGTTTAACAAGCCAATGCTCAAACTACTGAGCTATCCCGCCCCCAGATCTTGTGGCTACATCTAGAAATTGGTCTGTTTAGGTTAGAATCCCTTTTGTTAGTGTTACACGAGTCACTTTTCAGCAGACCAGCTGCTTCGGGTAAAAGGCTAACCCTATAACACTTGGGGTCACACGCTGCTGTTCTGAGAGTGTATTTCCCATAGATTGCAATTGTCACTTGCAAAGAGGCAGCTCTGGCTAATTAGGGCAACTCTTCAGATGGTTTTCAGGAAGTTAACTGACCTAAACCTAAGTTGTCAATTATCTTACCAGGTTGTACACCTGATGGTGCCATCCGCTAGGGATGAAGACTATCTCCCCTGCTTCCTGGATGATTTCAACAGGGGGGCAGCTTTGGGCATAGCGTGGGTAAACGCTGCTGTCCTGAAGACCAGGCGCAGTGACATCGAAGGGCAAGTTACCATGGCGATCTCTGAGGTACTCCTCCTGCCTGGGGGGATAGAGCAGCCATTTCTTTTTCCCGCAGATATTGGCAGACCAGCTGTAGGAGCGGAAGACGTCGGCGTGAAAAGGAGTCCTATGGGCCAAGTCAAAGGTTTAAGCATGTGTGACACAAAAGGCAAATACAATGCAAACAAGCACAAATCAAGTAAAGTTAAGATTATGGGCATATTCTGGCTTTGGATATTTCCACAAATCAATTTGAGCTGTGCAGGCATAGCTGAAGCGAGAATGTGGCCGTCAGTCTGTTTTCAATTGCCATGTGTTAAGGGCCAAGAAAGCACCCTATTAATAAACTGGGGGGGGGAGGGGGGAGAAAAGGTCAGCAACATCCCCTTGCCACACTTTTCTCTGCTAAAGTATTAGTTTTCAGTTTGAACCTCACACTTCAAAGGCAGCAGATTTGGGCTGAAGCTAAGACTGAAAGGGCAGGTTTATCGCCAACGAATGGCAACGTTTTAGACTCAGACCCAGATCCACAAAGACTCCCACTGATTTCAATGGAAGTTAGGAGCCTAAACACCTTTGTGGCTCTGAGTCTTAGGGTACGTCTACAGTACGAAATTAATTCGAACGTATTCTATTCAAATTTTCGGAAGCGATTTTATACATTCGCTGTTGTGTTCCCCCACTAAAGTGCGTGAATTCGGCGGAGTGCGTCCACAGTACTTAGGCTAGCAATGAATGTCGGAGAGGTGCACTGTGGGAAGCTATCCCACAGTTCTCACAGTCCCCACCGCCCATTGGAATTGTGGATTAAGCTCCCAGTGCATGATGCGGCAAAAACATTCTCGCGGGCGTTTCTGGGTGTGTGCCGTCACTCACTCCTCCCTCCGTGAAAGCTACGACAGACGCCATACTGGTGCACCGCCTGTCTCCTGGTACCATGAATCCACCTCGCATGTCCTCTCGTCTTTCTATCTACTCTTTTATCTAAACATTTACCGCCTTTTATCGGCCATCTTGAACCGAACAGGTCTCCTACGTTTCGCGCCCTTTTTCCAGGATTACCCGTGCAAGCGCCATAGCGTGGCAAGCATGGAGCCCGCTCAGATCTCCGCTGCAGTTTTGACCATTGTAAATACCTCGCACATTATCCAGCAGTATGTGCAGTACCTGCAAAACCGGGCGAGGAAGCGACAACAGTGCGATTACTATAGTGATGAGGACATGGACACAGATGTTCCTAGAAGCACGGCATGTGGCGATTGGGAGATCATGGTGGCATTGGGCCAGGTTCATACCGTGGAACGCCGATTCTGGGCCCGGGAAACAAGCACAGACTGGTGGGACCGCATAGTGTTGCAGGTCTGGGATGATTCCCAGTGGCTGCAAAACTTTCGTATGCGTAGGGCCATTTTCATGGAACTTTGTGACTTGCTGTCCCTGCCCTGAAGTGCAAAGACACAAAAATGAGAGCAGCCCTCACAGTTGAGAAGCGACTGGCCATAGCACTGTGGAAGCTTGCAACGCCCGACAGCTACCGGTCAGTCGGGAATCAGTTTGGAGTGGGCAAATCTACTGTGGGGGCTGCTGTGCTGCAAGTAGCCAACGCAATCATTGACCAGCTGCTATCAAGGGTAGTGACTTTGGGAAGTGTGCAGACCATTGTGGATGGCTTTAATGTGCTAGGGTTCCCTAACTGCGGTGGAGCGATAGATGGAACACATATCCCTATCTTGGCCCCGGCACACCGGGGCAGCCAGTATGTAAACCGCAAGGGGAACTTTTCCATGGTGCTGCAAGCACTGGTGGATCACAAGGGACGTTTCACTGACATCAACGTGGGATGGCCGGAAAAGGTGCATAACGCTCGCATCTTCAGGAACTCTGGTCTGTTTGAACAGCTGCAGGAAAGGACTTACTTCCCAGACCAGAAAATTACTCTTGGGGATGTTGAAATGCCTATAGTTATCCTCGGGGTC